AATGGGAAGAGGAAGACGCAGCACTTCCTGATGAGGGATCCCATGAGCAGCTAAAGGGATCTGGCCACCAGTGGCGAAGCCTCTTCCTGCACCACGACTTAACAAAAAGAAACTTGGGTGCATCTACACAATGGAGTACTATGCAGCTGTTAGAAATGATGAAGTCATGAAATTTACAAACAAGTGGTTCTACATGGAAAGTATCATGCTAAGTGAAATAAGTCAGAAAGAGAGGGACAGACATAAAAAGACTGAACTCATCTGGGGAATATAAAGTAAGAGAAGGGGAGACGAACGCCCAAGAATAGTTGAGATAAGTACCAGGAGGTCTGCTCCACGGCTTGGAAGCCAGCAGCACATACTGGGGAAAAAGGCAACTCAGATAGAGAAGGAAACACCAAGTAAAGGATATTTGGAGGACTCGCTCTGGATGTGAGATGCGTGCTGAAAGTAGACTAAAGACCGAACACAATGGCCACTCAATACCCTCTACTGCAAACCAGAACGCCCTAAAGGAAAGATAGAGCAAAAGGGAATGCCCTGTGCCCTGCCACAGAGGTGGAGGGGGGGGAGGGGATGGGACGGTGGGAGGGCTACTGGGTTCATTGGTGGTGGAGAACGGGCACTGGTGGAGAAATGAGTACTGGGTCACTGTATAACTGAAACCCAAGCACGAAAGTTTGTAAGTCTACAACTGTACCTCATGGTGTTTCTCTAATAATAAAAAAAAATGAGTGTTGGAGCTGGGACAAGCAGGTACTCTCTTGACTCTCTCGGGTGCGGGCCAGCCACAGGTGGCATTGGGTGCTCCAAGGAGCAGGCTGGAGGCTCAGCTTCTCGGGTCCTGGCCCCAAACCTCTGGCAACAGAATCTGCTTCCATGAGCCCCCCTCCCCCGTGATCCCTATTCCCAGCAGAGCACGAGCAGCTCCACTGCAGCCCCTCTGGACCCCACTGAACTTGATCTACTGGCAGAACACATATGGAAAGGCCAACTGTCACTGTTGTGGCATGTTGGGAGGGACATGTGAGAACACTGTGGATGAAGTGCCACGCTGGCTCCCAGAAGGGCCCCAGGTCACGGTGTGAGTCCCTTCCTCAGCACACTTCACTGCAGTCTTCTTGCCTCAATGCCTGCCAGCCCCTCACCGAAGAAAATCATCATGGCTATGATCTTCCTTTTGGTTCTTCAAATCTCAAAACTATGTTTAAAAAAAGCACCATAGTAGGCAGAACAAGTGCAATAGCACAGCAGGTAGGGTGTTTGCCTTGCACGCAGCCAACATGGCCGATGCGAGTTCGATTCCTCCGTCCCTCTCGGAGAGCCCGGCAAGCTGCCGAGAGTATCTCGCCCGCACAGCAGAGCCCGGCAAGCTACCGAGAGTATCTCGCCCGCACGGCAGAGCCCGGCAAGCTACCCGTGATGTATTCGATATGCCAGACACAGTAACAACAAAGTCTCCAATGGAGATGTTACAGGGCCCGCTCGAGCAAATCAATGAACAACGGGAGGACCATGATACCATGAAGTAGGCAGGAAAAGGACCCCTCACTCACAGTGGGTAGGAACACGGGATGGAGATTCCTTCCCAAAGCCAGAATAGAGCATTCCCGGAACCCAGCAATTCCATCTCGTGGAATGTGCCACAAAACACCAACACACGAATCAGAGAAGATCCAGAAACGCACACTCATGCTCACGGCCATGCTTCAGATGACAGGCTGGCCCCTGAAGCAAGCTGAACAACCGACAGCAGCTGAGTGGGGGAAAGAAGCCTGGCATGCAGACCCGGTGGAACATGCTTCTGCTCTAAGAAACAGGAAATCTTGCAGCTTCCTGTGACATGGATGGAGCTGGAGGGCACCGTGTTAGACAAAGGTGGTCAGAAGGAGTAGAAAGGACAGCGCTGAATGATCTCACTCATATGAAGTGCAGAGAAATGAAGCAAGGAAATGGTCAGTATGGACCGATGACCAACCAATCCTTGGCCTTGGCTTATGGACACTGAGATCATCAGAAGCTGTGGTTGGGAGTGGGAAAGGAGCCAATGAGAAGGGACCAATGAGAAGGCGCCAATGAGAAGGGATCAATGAGAAGGGGCCAATGAGAAGGGACCAATGAGAAGGGGCCAATGAGAAGGGGCCAATGAGAAAGGGCCAATGAGAAGGGGCCAATGAGATGGGATCAATGAGAAGGGGCCAATGAGAAGGGGCCAATGAGAAGGGATCAATGAGAAGGCGCCAATGAGAAGGGGCCAATGAGAAGGGGCCAATGAGAAGGGGCCAATGAGAAGGGACCAATGAGAAGGGACCAATGAGAAGGGGCCAATGAGAAGGGGCCAATGAGAAAGGGTCAATGAGAAGGGGTCAATGAGAAGGGGCCAATGAGAAGGGGCCAATGAGAAGGGACCAATGAGAAGGGGCCAATGAGAAGGGGCCAATGAGAAGGGGCCAATGAGAAGGGACCAATGAGAAGGGGCCAATGAGAAGGCGCCAATGAGAAGGGACCAATGAGAAGGGGCCAATGAGAAGGGACCAATGAGAAGGGGCCAATGAGAAGGCGCCAATGAGAAGGGACCAATGAGAAGGCGCCAATGAGATGGGATCAATGAGATGGGATCAATGAGAAGGGGCCAATGAGAAGGGACCAATGAGAAGGGGACAATGAGAAGGGGCCAATGAGAAGGGACCAATGAGAAGGGGCCAATGAGAAGGGACCAATGAGAAGGCGCCAATGAGATGGGATCAATGAGAAGGGGCCAATGAGAAGGGACCAATGAGAAGGGGCCAATGAGGAGGGACCAATGAGAAGGGACCAATGAGAAGGGGCCAATGAGAAGGGACCAATGAGAAGGGGACAATGACACAGGGACAAAGGGGGTTTGTTGGGGTGGAAAGCTGGGAGACACTCTGGTGGTCAGGAAGGTGCAGGAACGTTGTACAACAAGTCTATACACTATGGTATAGACTTGTATACTATTGTAACCGAGCTCTCTCAACTATAATAATGTGTTTCCTAAATCACCAACCCCAGGAGACCTAAGACCCAATCCGGAGCCTGTTCGACCTCCCTCCTGCAGTCAGCAATGCCCAGATGCTGAGTTCCAGATTTTCTCCATCTTTATGGTCTCACTCAATGACTGGCTCTAGGTGTCTGGGAAACGTCAGACTCTTTCTAAACTCTGGTCCTTGGCTGAGCAAATGCATGAGGCGCTACCAAACTCTGGCCCATCCTAGTCTTTCTCTAAATCTCACCACGTTTTTGTATGTCTCGTTGTGTCCTATAAGTACACTCTCAGCTACCCAAGACAGAGACCCACCTGCCTCTCCTCTCTCTCTCTCTCTCTCTCTCTCTCTCTCTCTCTCTTTGTATGTGTGCGTACACACACACACATACATCTTGTGAGTGCTGATACTCAGTCACCAAGACCCAGAGATGCCTGTGACAAATGCCAGGATTTCAGAAGGAAATTCATGGGTGATGGGCAGAGGGAGGTGGGTCTTAGTGGGTGCAGCTCACCCCATCTTGGGAAGTTCCTGGCAGACTTCACATAAGGGGTTACCCCAATAATCAAACACCTCACCCGAAGGTTCTATTTACACAGCACATCAGGACAATTTTTTTAAAAAAAAATACTTTTGACACTCATTAGACTTGTAATCGTCCACTGAAGCTCCTCTATAACAAGAGATAAACACTCCATTTCTAGTGGATGAATAATAATTGGGTACCGCTCAGCACTGCGCTTTTCACAGGTCTAATTTTAGAGCATAATTAATCCTGCTGAAGCTGCATAAGATAAGTGAAATATTTAGGCAGCTGTGTTAATTCATGTATTTACTCCTAGACAGACATTCAGAATTGGACACGGCTTTCCGGGAAGATTATCTTAAGATGCCCCCTGGGGCAACGTCATTTTCTCAGGCGACATCGTTGCCTCCAGATGGTCTCGAAAGAGGAAGTTGAGAAGACGGATTTCCCACCCCTGACAGCCTGACCAGGAAAGCAATGAGCCAGGACAGAACCCATCATGTGAACGCAGACACTCTGCCAGCACGTGCAATGGCTCTTGGGACCAGTTCTAGACCTCTGCCTTTCAACTCTGTGTCACGAGCCCAGCCTCTGTATGGAAGGTGGTTTCCATGCTCCCGTGCTCAGTTGACACAAAATAAGCAGAGTTGAATCACTGAGTTGGAGATGGGCCACAGAATGGAGAAAGAGGAGGAAGAGGAGGAGGGTGTGGAGGGCAGTTGTGTCAGTGAAGATGACAGTGGCAGAGGTGACACGGACGAGGGTGAGGGTCATGATGGGGATGGTGATGACCATGGGGTTATGGGTCAATGTGTGTGTGTGTGTGTGTGTGTGTGTGTGTGTGTGTGCGCACACACATACATCTAGTGAGTGGTGATACTCACTAGCCACCAATGACACACTGAACCATTTCTGAGTTCGGGTGTTGTACCAAGTTCTTGGTGCATTCTCTCATGTGACCCCCGTACCAACGACCTGGGTGGCCTAAAATCCCCAGGAATGGGCCCAAGGCCTCCTGAGCACCATTTGGGAGCCCCCCAAGTCTCCATACAAGACCAATATGCTCTTGTGGGATGAGACAGCCCCCAGCCCCCCTGAAACAGCCCCACTCTGCACCGATGGTGTGAATGGTACTATCAGACTGTCGGGACAGCCTTCCCTCCCCATCCCAAAGCCAGCGGGTTCAGTTCTTTCCCGAACTCACTGAGATCAAAACTTCTGTGTCCTTAACATAAATTCCCTTCACAAACTGGGGTTGTCTACAACTCGGTTTCCAGCCTACACCGTTGCAAAGCGTGCCGGGATGGTGTGAGCAGCGCTCGTTGGGTATATTTTTAGTGAACAAGCAAGAGAAAGCTCTGCTGAACAGTAGATCTGAGCTCTGGAGCAGAGTCAGGAGCTCAAGAGCTGGCACAGGGATGAAGGCGGGGGTCGGGGGTAGGGGAGGATGCAGGGCTGCAGGGTCTTACCGTCACCCACAAACTGGAGCAGCGCCAGGTCAATCTGCCTCTTCCAGGGGGACCCCTTCTGCAGGGCAATCCCGTAGCCCGTGGTGGCAAAGATGTAGCCGCTGCCGATGGTCACCAGCTTGCAGCCCTCGTCCCGGCCTGCCTTGTAGTTCAGCACGGCCGCGTCGTAGATGAAGGCGTCCAGCTTCCTGGAACGGACCGAACAGAAAGCAGGGGAGGAGTCACAGGCCTGGTGGGGACCAGCTCAGGGATAGCATCACACCCCGTGACTCAGGGCCACACTGGCCCCTCACCGTACAAGGAGCTATTTTTAAGGAGGAGAGAAAAGCCAGAACTGTTTTATTTTTTGTTGCTTGGTTGGTTGGTTGTTTTTTTTTTTTTTTTTTTTTTTTGCTCCGGGTCACAAGCTAAATAAAGATACGAAGCGTCCTTGCGCCCAAATGAGTCAAGCGTCATTCAAGCGTCAAACAAGTGAGAGCTGAGAGCCTGTTTGCGGCCCTCGACGTGACAAAGGATCACATCAGAGCAGAAGAAAATGCTGGGGACAGGAGAACCGGTGAGGTAGGCAGGAAGAAACAGCCTTTTCCTCCCCAGAGAAACAGGTCTGCTGCTTCTTAATGATTCCATCCTTTTCAGAGACCAAAATGGTTTAGAAATATTAAGCTCGAAATTAGCATTTAAATCTCCTCTAATCCCATCACTCAGAGGAGGACAACCTCATCAAGGAACAGGTGAATAGACTCGAAAACTTCTCAGGTGTGTGTGCACGTGGACACACACACACACACACACACCCCGCAAATAGACACACAACTTTAAAAACAAAAGTGGGCAAACTTCTTCTGTGAAGACGAGGTTGCGATTGGGGCTCAGGGCGTCTGTGTCTGCTGTCACTCTCAGCTGAGCTGTCGGAGCCTGTGGGGGGAATAATACCCCCACCCCACCCCCAGGTTCCAATGTCATAACCTCACCCTGAGCTTTGGAATAGCTGTTTGGGGATGTGGTCATTACAGACTTGGGACAGGGTCACACAGGCCACACAGGAGGAGGGTGTGACAGGTGTGGGGGTGGGGAGAGATGACACAAACTGGACCACAGATGGGCATTGGGACAGAATGTCACAAAAGAACGATGGGGGGGGCTGGCACAACGGCACAGCGGGGAGGGCGTCTGCCTTGCACGCGGTTGACCCGGGTTCGATTCCCAGCATCCCATATGGTCCCCCGAGCACCAACAGGAGTGATTCCTGAGTGTATGGGCCAGGAGAAACCCCTGTGCATCGCTGGATGTGACCCAAACAGAAAAAAAAAAGAGCACCTCAATGAAGCCTCCCGAGGCCACACACCTCTCTGAAGTTGAAGGAGTGGCTGACAAGGCCCTGCCCGGCCCCGTTGGGCTCACAGCCCCAGGCTCCTGGACAGGGAGGCCCAGACTGCCCATCTCTGCTGTCCTGGCCCCTTGTAGGGTGGAAACTGTGACGGTGGCCCCCGGGGACTGACCATGCAGGAACGCAGCCAAAGGCAAGGTGAGTGACCTCCGAGGGCTCCTGAAACATGGATAACCAGGGACTGGACCCCTTGTCATGCCTTCGCGACCCCCACAAATGCCCCTGGGTGCCAATGTCGGAGAGGCACATGGAGGGGCTCAGGCTCCCCACCCCTCCACGCTCAGGAGGGCATCTTGTGGTGCGGCTGCCCCTGGTCACTGCCATCCCCCAGGAGAGCTGGGGGGGCTCGGGCCATGCCCAACGCAGAGGGACAGACACCTCTCCTCAAACGGTGGGAAATGGTTCACTCAGCCGGCGTCCCCCTTCTTCGGTTCCCCCCACGAGGAAGCAAGCACTTCCTGCCAGGTGTAGATGAGCCTCCCAAGCATGTCCTCATCCTCCTGTGGCCTTGGGGTCCAACCCCAAGTCTGGGACCACCTGACACCTCTCTTCATCCCGCTGCCTAGGCTGGAACCACGGTTCTCCCAGGTCAAGCTGGGCCTCTGCGGGGTCACCAGGCTTGTACCGTGGGCGTGTGTGTGTGTGTGTGTGTGTGTGTGTGTGTGTGTGTGTGTGGGAGGGGGGGCTCAGCCCTCCCTAATCCAAAGCTTCCGGTTTGAGCTTGAGTCTCTTCCCAGCGGCTCTCTGGGGGTCTCGGCACATTCTAGGGCTAATTATATAGTTAAAGTTAATTATTCATTCATTAGCATGCAAGCAGCCTTCAATGGGGCTCCAATGAATTAATAAAACTGTGTGTGTGGGGGCTGCTCTGGGGTGACTGAGCATTCTGACACAGCTCCCAGCCACACTCGGGGGGCTTCCTGCTGGAAGAGAACTAAGCTGGCCGGCGGCAACTTCCACCCCTCAGCGTAGTGGGGCCAGCAGGGAACCAGGCTTGGGGTGCAGGTCCTCTGCCAGCCATCTGAGTACGGCCCAGTCTTGGGGTTCTCTCCTGTGAGACAGGGGCGGGCAGGAGCTGCGGTTCTGTGTGGCCAGGTCTGCAGCTGAGGTGACCCTGGGTGTGTGTGTCCCCATCGGGTGCTGAGAGACAGGAACAGTCAGAGCCAAGGCCCTTCTCCGTCTGTGTCACACAAGGTGCTGCCCAGGGGGGCAGAGGTGCCTCCTGCCCTCTTGCACGCCGTGTCTGTCTGTCGGGACGTAGCCCCCGGTGAGGCCTGCGTACGACTCACCCCATCCTCATGGCAAATGATTTCCCCTGGGAATCTGTCTCCTCTTGTCTCCATCTGATAAGGATCTGATCCAGGCTCTGCCCGCTGTCCTGTGTCGCTCCTTAGTAACTTCTGCCCTTTGGGGGTTCTCTTTGGTGGGCATGGCCCACTTCCCACCCCACCCCACCCCCCTAATGTCTGAGGGCAGCTGGGAAGATTCCGGTTCTCTGACGGTCTTGTCGCTGATGGATTTCACGTCTGTGCTTTCTGAGGCTGTCCCTGTCATATGTGGCACTTATTTCTGGCATAATGCTCTCCGCGAATTGGGCGGAAAAGGCTGAGGGCGACCACTTCTATTTCTGTTTGTTCATTTGGCTTTGGGGCTGCAGCCAACTGGGCTCAGGACTCACTCCTGGCTCTGTGCTCAGGGATCACTCCTGGCGGTGTTGAGGGGACCAGATGGGGTTCCAGGAACGGAACTCGGGTCAGCCACGTACAGAGCAAGTAGCCTGCCCACTGTACTGTCTCTCCTGCTCTGGTATTTCTTTCTAACTAAGAAGATTCTGATAGTTGGGAATGATCACGCTGGGCAAGAACTGAGCGTTGAAAGTAGGTAAGGGGATAGACATGATAACTTTTCAGTATCTGTTTTGAAAACCACAACGCCCAAAATGAGAGAGAGGGAGAAAGAGAGAAAAAGAGAGAAAGAGAGAGAGAGAGAGGTGCCTGTCATACCGGCAGGCTGGGGGTATTGGGGGTGATGGGGAGGAACCTGGGGACACGGGTGCTGGGAAATGGACACTGGTGGAGGGATGGGTGTTGGAACACTGTATGACTGAACCCCAATCATGAACAGCTTTGTAAGGGTCTATCCTACGGTGATTCAGTTAAAAAATTAAAGAAGATTCTGAGCAGAGAGAGAGAGGGAGAGAGAAGGCGAGAGAAAAGAAGAGGGAGGAGAGAACAAGGAAGATCCATATAGAAGCCTTACCAAGTCAGAGAGGGGAAAGGGAGATAGAGGGAGCAAGAGAAAAAGAGAGGGGGAGAGGGAGGGAGAGGGGGAAAGGAAGAGAGAACGGGGGAGGGAGAGAAGACGGAGAGAGAAGGGGAAAGAGCTAGAGAAGGGAGGGAGAGGAGGGCGGTGGGGGAGAGGGGAGAGGAGAGAGAAGAGAGAGAAGGAAAGAGGAGGAGGAGAGTGGGGAGAGAAGACAGAGACAGGGCAAGCAGGGGAGGGCAGGGGTGGGGTGTGGAGGGAGGAACAAGACTGAGAGGCCCAGGCTGAAGGGCAGGAACCCAGGGGACAGCTGACCAGGGACTGAGAAAAAGAGTGTAGGGGAGGGGCGTGGAGGTCCAGGAGGCCGTGTACGTGTGTGCACGCGCACGTGCGTGAGTGTATGTGTGAGCGCATGAGTATGTGTGTGAGTGTGTATGTGTGTGTATATGTGAGTGTATATATTTGTGTGTATGTGTGTGTGATGTTTGTGTGTATGTGTGCGTGAGTGCTGTGTGTGTGCATGAGTGTGTGTGCAGACGCTCCCAGGCCTATCTCCTATCTGTCCACTTGGGCCTGCAGAGCGCACCCTCCAGTTGCCGTGCTAAGAGGAAGGAGATTTGGGGGCAACAGGAGCAGCTACGCACTTCTCTGAACCTCGATTGCTCATTTCTACCTCCAGAAAGAAACAAGTGCTCCAGGGCAGGTAGAGAGACGGCACCACAGGGAGGGCACTCGCCTTGCGCACACACACAACTGACCTGAGTTCAATCCCCGGCACCCCATACAGTCCCCCGAGCGTGGCCAGGAACGCAGAGCACAGAACCAGGAGTAAGCGCTGAGCACCCCCAAACAAACCAGAAAACATAAAGCGATTCCAGTGACGTAAGCCCAGGGTGGGAAGGCAGCAGGCTCTGGTCTCCACGGCTGTTCGGGGCACCTCGGACTGGCAGCCCAAAGCAGAGAGACACCAGCACGCAGTTGCCGGAAGCACATCGTCTGGAGGGAGAGAAGCGAGGCTGGTGGTGGTCAGGGGACAAAGCAGCCGCCTGCTTTCTGAGCCTGGAGCTTCTCAGAGGACCCTCCACGGCGGGCCAGGGAGACGGCGAGTGTGAAGGTGACGGGGACTGCCCGGCTCTGTGCAACGCCACCCCAGGGAGACTGCCTGGCAGAGCTGTGCAGGCTGACGGGGCACAGAGACCAACCTGGGCACAACCCAACAACAACAGCACAGGCCCCGGGGCAGGGAAGGGAGCTGTCGAGGGTTACCAGAAACGCCGCTTCTGACTCTCGCTGAGCCCGACCGTGAGACCTGGGCCCTCTGGCCCGCGTTCTGTCTCTATTCCCATCGCAAGAGAGCTCCTGCCCATTCCTTTCTTCCTCTCTCCCTCCTCCTCTCTCTTTTCGGAGTTTACAGCACTGAGAACCAATTTTAGTGCCTCTCCCCCCCACCCTTTCTGTCCATTTTGAACTCTGCATCGGTGGCCTTGATGATCCATTAATATTATTTTAATAAAGTTTAACAAGAACTAATTCCAAGCA